AGATTGAATCAGTAATAAATACCCTCCCCACAGAGAAAAGCCCTTATGGTTCGTATGGCTTCACCTCTGAATTCTACAAAACTTAAAAAGAAGAGTTAACCCCTACTGTGCTCAAATTATTTCTAAAGATCCAAAAGGGTGAATCTCTCCCTAATTACATCTATGAAGCTTCCATCACCCTTATCCTTAAAACAAATAAGGACAGGACAAGGAAGGAAAACTATAGACCAATATTTCTGATGAATACAGACGCAAAGATTCTCAACAAGATAATAGCAAATTGTATCCAACAACTTAATAAAAAAGATTATACATCACCATCAGGTAGGCTTTATTCCAGGAATGCAAGGTTGGTTCAACATATGCAAAACCATAAATGTAATATACCATATTAACAGAAAGAAAGATAAAAACCATATGATCATATAAATTAATGCAGAAAAAAGCACTTAAAAAGATACAACATCCCTTCATGATCAAGACTCTCAGCAATATCGGCATAGATGTGTCATTTCTCAACACAGTAAAAGCTATCAATGAAAAACCGATAGTGAACACCATCCTGAATGGAGAAATGCTGAAAACGTTTCCCCTAAAAGCTGGTACAATACAAGGATACCCACTTTCTCCACTCCTTTTCAATAGAATACTGGAAGCCCTTGTCAATGCAATCCGAAAAGAGAATAAAATAAAAGGCATTCAAATAAGAAAAGAAGAGATGAAACTCTCTCTATTCACAGAGGACATGATGGTATAGAAGACTTAATGATATCCATGAAAAAATTCCTGGAAGAAATACATGAATACAGTAAAGTTGCAGGATACAAAATTGGCATACAGAAATCTATAACATTTCTATATACAAATGGCAGGTAGACTGAAATAGAACTGCAAAAAGTAATTCAATTTACAATAGCCACAAAAAGTATAAAATACCTAGGAATAAAACTATCCACAGAAGTTAAAGACCTTGACAAGGAAAACTATGAGAAGCTAAAAAAGGAAATTGAAAATGACACAAAAAAGTGGAAGAACATCCCATGTTCCTGGATTGGAAGAATTAATATAATCAAAATAGCCATTCTACCCAAATTAATCTACATATTTAATGTAATCCCAATCAAAGTACCAGACACATTCTTCACAGATCTAGAAAAGACAATCATAAAATTTGTCTGGAATCATAAAAGACCTCATATTGCCAAAGCAATCCTGCACAAGAAGAGTGGAGTGGGAGGCATCTCACTCCCCAGACCCAAAAATATACTACAAAGCTGTGGTAATCAAAACAGTACTGGCACAGAAACATATAGGTGGACCAATGGAACAGGATAGAGTCCCCAGAAATAAACTCCCAAATATATAGTCAACTGATTTTTGACAAAGGGTACCCGTCAATCCAGTGGGAAAAGGAAAACCTCTTCAGCAAATGGTGCTGGAAAAACTGGATATCCATCTGCAGAAGGATGATTCTGAACTCCTACCTCTCACCTTTGACAAAAATCAACTCAAGGTGGATCAAAGATCTAAACTTAAGACCTCAAACTGTAAATCACTGGGGAAACTCTGGGAGACATTGGGGTAGGGCAAGACTTCTTAAATAAGACTCCCAAAGTCAGTAATCCCCAAAATAGACAAGTGGGATTACATCAGACTAAGAAGTTTCTGCATGGCAAAAGACACAGTGCTTAGTGTGAATAGACAGCCCTCAGAATGGGAAAATATTTTTGTAAACTAATCGACAGCCCTCAGAATAGGAAATAATTTTTGCAAACTATGTGTCAGATAAGGGACTGATAACCAGAATACACAAGGAACTCAAGCAACTGTTCCAAAAAAAGATGTAGTCTACACACCAGGAGGTGTGTGCAATAGTTTGTGCAACTGTGATCCTGACTCAGTGAGGCTGGGATTGGATATGATGTAAAAACCCTGTGGTGGGAGACTGGCAGGTGGTGTGGTGGTCAAGGTCCTGGACTCTCATATAGCTGACCATGGTTCGAGCTCTGGACCTGGCAGCTTGCTTTCTCACTTTCCCTCTTTCCTTGTCTCTGGTCAAATTAAAAATAAATAAATAAATAAATAAATAAATAAATAAATAAAAATAATTATTAAAAAATCCCCAAAACCCTATTGGGGTGGCTGTCTCTCTCTTTCTCTATCTCTGCTTGGAAGAAATAAATAATATTTTAAAAAAAGAATTATCTATTTAGCTTTATTTTTTATTATAACTTTTCAATTTGACCAGAGAGAGAGGGAAAGTGAGAAAGCAAGCCACCAAGTCTGGGACTTGAACCACAGTTGGTCATATGAAAGTGTAGTGCCTTAATCACCACACCACCTGCTAGCCCCTATAAATAAACTTTTTACAAAATAAGCTAATTACTACAGGGAAAACTAACAAAAGACGTGTAAGTCACTGTACTGAAAATAAAACATCATTTAAAAAAAAGAGTTGAAATAAATTGAGAACATTACAATATTCATTCATTACAATATTCAAGATGTCAATTGTTTCAAAGTTCATCTGTAGATTTGAAGAAATCCTGAAGAAATTCTAGGAGAGGGTTTTGAAAAATTAACAAACTGATACCAAAGTGTATCAAATATATGTAGCCAAGAGTGGCCACAGCAATCTTGAAGAGGCAGAATAAATTTGGAAGCCCTACACTGCCAGATATCAAGAACTGTCATAAAGACTTAGAGCCCAAAACTAAAGACAGTACATAGCCCATCACCTGCCACACATCATTTCTGTTCTTGTCTTGTCTTGTGTGAACAGAGAATTAGAATCATACTGTGAATTTGGGAACTTCAAGAGCCCTGAGGTGCATATGAAGGAAACAGTCTTACCTTGGGAATGAAGTAGTTTCTGAATTTAATGTCACAGGTCACTGCATGGGGCAGGCTGGTGGGAATGAGGTCAATGAATCGCTGGACCTCATGTATCATGGCATCCGTGTAGGGCATGTGACTCCTGTCCTGCCTGCAGGGGCTCCGGTGTCTGCCGATCACATGGTGGATCTCTTCCTGGACTTTAGCTGACAAGACACAAATAAGAGCTGATGGAAAGGAGGAAGATGACACATTTGTCATAGCCATTCAGAGTTACAGGAAGCATGATAAGGGTGTTTATAATCATAACCCCAAATGCCCAAACGGATTGTAAACGTGACCTATGTGCCTAGGGCACACCTAGACATGTGAACGGAATGGCCATAATATAGATATGTGTGGCGCTCCTACAAGCCAGATACTAAACTGCTTGTGTGCCCACCTCCATATTAAGCATACATAACTATTACAAATAGAAATGATGAAGTGTTTCAAAATGAAAATGGTTATAGCATAATTAACCCAAGAATTATCAGGCCACTCAGTGGTGTGGTGATTAAGGTGGCTAGATCCCATCCATCCATGCTTGACTGTATTTTAAGACCACCTGGACCCAGTGGCTTGAAAAATACACCAGATGTGTGTGTTCATGCCCAAAATTCTGAGAGGAGGATGGAAGAGAAGGGATTGCAGCATGGACATCCTTCCTGAGGGTGCTTTCTCATTTTCCTTCTCTCTCTGTCTCCCTGACAAGTGCATATGCCCTACAGTAAAATTTTTTAAAAAAATTATTCATTACAACAAGAAAAACAGGAATAAATATTAACTTTATATGAAAATACGTAACAGTATTGTAAAATTTAATTCTACTAATGGATCTATATGTATGTATGTATGTGTATGTGTGTGCATGAGTTGCTTACCATACTCTCTTTTTCTTTTTTTGGAGAGCTGTTTGTTTGTTTTTTTTTTTTGGCCATAGAGTGCGTGCACTTGCCAGACGGAGAGAGAGAGACAGAGAGACAGAAAGCGAGAAATCACCCCCAGGGGGTATGGCCACGCCGCAATCCCTTCTCCTCCATTCTCCTCCTGGGATCTTGGGCACGCACGCACACGCGCCCGACGTGAGTTTTAAGCCACTGGGTCCGGGACATGAACTGCAGTCGACTACGTGGGAGTCCAGCGACATAGCCATTACGCTGGTCCCCACCATACTCTCTTCAATCTCCCACTCCCTAAGTGCTGCCTCTGTGAATCATTGTAGCAATTATTTCTGAAATATGTGCTCATCTTCCTAAATAATTATGCTACTTCTATTTCTCAATTTATCCAATCTTAGACAACATCTAATGACATCTCAGTATGGAAGATGAAGATTTTCATTCCATCTTAACTCCATAAAAAAATACACAGGTACTCAGCCACAAACACACAAATGTTTCCCCTCACTACACTTCTGCCTATATATTTTGACCACAGATTTTTATTATATCAATATATATTGTTTATGCCATTATGACATCATAAATGACGCTCCATAGTAAGCTAGCCACGATTATATTTAATTTTTAAATATTTTAAACTCATTTTTAAACAATTTATATCAAGTTTTAATTTTCTAGTTGCTTATTTAGATTATTTTTAAGTGCTCGGTAGATGTTTCAAACTTCTATTAATAATTTTCCAAATGCTCAAACTTTAGATTATCCATGCTTTTTCTTTCTTTCTTTTTTTTTTTAATTGCCAGAGGACGTAGGCGCTCACCAGAGAAAGACAGAGAGAGAGAAAGCACCTTCCAGTGAAGCAGAGCCATGCCATGAGCCCTTCTTCTCCAATCGTCTATTCTGTTGGGGCTTGGGGCTTACAAACACACATGCCTGGCATGTTTTTCAAGTCACCAGGGCCAGGACTGAACCACATTTGTCCATATGGGATCCGACTCCCTTACCCAGTTGGCTATGGGGCTGGGCTAGCCCTCTCTTTCAACATTCTTATCTTCCCTCATACCTGTGTTAGCTATTTACTAGAGTCTCAATTGGTTGCTTCCTATGTCTGGTGCCCCATACCTCCCCTTAAACTTCCATCTTCCTTCATGAGGTCTCCTGTTTCTAGAGTCTATGACTCCTCTGTCTTGGTCCGAATACCTGGATAAAGGTAATGCTCCAGTACCGTTCATTTTTTTTTTTTTTTTGAGAGGTTTGTGCTATAGGGCACGTGTGCTCGCCAGAAAGAGACAGACAGAGAGAAAGTGAGAAATCACCCCCCAGGGGGGATGGCCATGCCGCAATCCCTTCTCCTCCATTCTCCTCTTGGGATCTTGGGCGCGCATGCACACGTGCCCTGCATGAGTTTAAGCCACCGGGTCCAGGACTCGAACTGCGGTCAACTACATGGGAGTCCAGTGACATAGCCATTACACTAACTGCTAGTCCCTCCAGTACCTTTCTGAGAAAGTAAAAATGGAGAGTAATTTTTTTGACAAATATGGAGATGTGAAAATATCCCTTTTATATGAATATCTAAGCTGATAGTTGCTCTTGAAAATTCTGATGCTGTTCAGATTTCTAATCCTTTATTTTTTAATTAATTTTTTTAGTGGTTTTTGCCTTAGGGAGCATGCACTCACTGTAGAGAGAGACAGAAACTGTGAGAAGGAAGGTGAGAAATCACCTCCTGCCAGGGAGGATGGCCACACAGCAATCCTTTCTCCTCCTGTGATCTTGAGCATGATTGCCCAGTATGAGTGTCAAGTCACCAGCTCTGGGACTCGAACTGTGGTCAGCCATGTGTGAGTCCAACAACATAACTGCTACTCCATCTGCTAGCACCATTTTTAATCCTTTAAATATGATTACGTAAGTCCTGATATATTGGTGAAAGTTTTTATATTTTAATTTTATCCTCATGTTCTAAAATTCCATGATCCTGTTTCTTGGGGTGGATGATATTTTCATTCACTCTGCTGGACACTTAGAGAGGGTTTTCTATCTAGATGACAGAAACGTACGTCTCCGGCCAGCCTTGGAGCACAGCAGTTAAGTGTGTTGAGAGAGCCCAGTCTCTTAATTCAAGAAATGTATCCTGTCAGCTCTCTCCCTCTTACCATGTTTTGGCATAGTGTCCCTGGCTACAGGGCCTCTTAGGTACAGTTTCTTTAGAGAGTAAATCTCTGAGAGAGGAAAATAGCTCTTTGCTCAAAGGAATTGAGAGGAAACTTGCGAGGGTCCTATTTTCAGTATCAATTTCCTTGAAATTATTTGACACCAATATTTCCAACTACTGAGCTCTAGAGGGATGTTAGAGCAGGCTGGCCTTTCTGCATGAATGGATCTTCTGACAGTGAGGTTATAGCCTCACCCTTTCTGCTTAGTTTGTTCTGACCCCTCTGCTGTGTTTCAGAAATTTGTTGAGGATTTACTGACTACTTTCACCATTGTTCTTCTCCAATTTTAAAAGGACTAATTGTCATTTGCAAGTATTGGGTCATTGGAAAAGTCATGACACGTTCTTGTATAGAAAAACATAGGAAAATATGTCATGACTTTTTCGACAGCCCCGCACATTACAATTATTTCAATGGGATCTTGAAACAGGAAATGACAGTATATGCTTCTAACTTGGCATGCATAACTGGAGTTAATTTCTAAAATAAAGTTCATAAAAGATAAAATTACTGAATGAAAGGAAAATCCTATCTGGGAAAAGATGTTTGCTAGAAACAGATTTCTAGAAAATTCCTTCAGGTACATTGTCTAAGATACCTTTTATAAGAATATAACTTTTTTTTTAATTGCCAGAGAGCATATCTGCTCATCAAAGACAGAGGTAGAGGGCAAGGTAGAAAGCTCCCCTCAGTGGGACACTGTCACACCACAACCCCTTCTCTTCCAGTTCTGTATTTTGGGAATTTGGGCATACATGCACACATGCCTGGCATGTTTTTCAAGCCACCAGGGCCAGAATTTGAACCATGGTCGGCCATGTGGAATCCAGTTTCCTTAAACATTAGGCTGTGGGTCAGCCCAAACTAGCCTAAGAAGACTTCTTAGTTGTAGAAATTTTTCCTGGCCACCTCACTACATTTCTAGAATTTCTATTTATGCTCTGATAAGGAGAGTTTGCATTGTCTGTACCCAGCATCCTAACACTGCATTTTCAGAATAAAGGAAGATTTCTTCAAAAGTATACCTACCATTTAAGGTACCTTCTTGCTAATGAAACCAACATGCAAACTTTGACCAGTCCATGCACCGACTGCTGCCCGCTGCAGATCACCTCCCTGTGGGGTGCAGACATGCACCAGAGCTCTACTGCTTTGCTACCGCCCACACTGCCCTTCACTTCTCTCAGCCACCCTCCCTATTGTGCAACATGGTCTCATTCTTATCCCTTCATTCAATTTGGACACATTTCAGCTGTTGCATAGATTTCAACAATGAAGTGTCTCTAAGAGAAAGAAGATGGAGGACGTTGGCAGTGTCTTACCGAATTTCTATTCTGAAATTCACTTTGCTCACCATCCGTGGTCATACCTGTAACCTCTGGGTGCTTTAGCAGGAGCAGGAGGGCATATCTTAGTGTGGTGCTTGTTGTCTCTGTCCCAGCTCCAAACACATCAGACACAGTGACTAACAAGTTTTCAAGAGTAAATTCAGACTGTGGTTTGTTCTTTTCCTAGGAATGATTTGATGCAATTATTTGACAACTTAGTTTTCCAGGCATTTAATTACAACACGTACAAAATAGATCGTTGTTATAAAGATAAGCCAACATAGACACTGTGGCATGCAGTTCTAGACAAGGGCCAGCAGATGGTGGGGAGGTCAAAAGGGATCCATGGCCAACTCTGTGTGGTTTGAGTCCCGGACCTCATGGCTTGGAAATCATGCAGTGCACGTGTGTGTGTGTCCAAGATTCCCAGAGAAGAATGGAGGAGAAGGTACTGTGGTGTGCCATCCTCTCTGGCGGTGGTTTCTCATTTCTCTTTCTCTCTCTCTCTCCATGTCTCATGGAGGAGAAGGTATTGTGGTATGGCCATCCTCTCAGGGGGTGAGGGATATTTTCTCACTTCTCTCTCTCTCTCTCTCTCTCTTTCTTTTTGGCAAGCATACATGATCTATAAGAAAAACTAAAAGAAAAGAAAAGGCTACTGTGTGGTGTGCTAAACTGCACTCTAATTGACCCACTCTTCATTTCCTGCCCTTCACCTCTTGCTTGCCTCAAAATCCATCCATCACCTGGGAACCAGCAGTTAGCGTAATGGCTATGTCGCTGGACTCCCACGTAGTCGACCGCGGTTCGCGTCTCGGACCTGGTGGCTTAAATCTCACGCCGGGCGCGTGTGCGTGCGTGCCCAAGATCCCAAGAGGAGAATGGAGGAGAAGGGATTGCGGCGTGACCATCCCCCCTGGGGGGTGATTTCTCGCTTTCTGTCTCTATGTCTCTCTCTGTCTGTCTGGCG